CCTTTGCACCCTCTGCCAAGGATCCTGCTTGTGCTCTTCACTTTTTTTTTGAGATGGGGCGAGGGGGATGGCTCCATCTCCCTCACCCTGGAGGTGACGGACATCACCCCTGGGGGCAAGCTTGGAGCGTGAGGCCTCGGGCAGAGGTGAAGCTCAGAGATAAGCCACCATCCATCCATCCCTCTCTCCTTGTGGCCTCCTGGCGACACCGGTTCCTGGGAGGACGGGGAACAAGGAACTACCCCAGCCCCAGCTCCGCTCGGCCCTGCCAAAGCAAGCAGGCGCCTGGCTGTGAGCTTCCTCCTTCCTGCCTCCGGGGACCGGGTGGCTCAAGTCCCTGCAGGCCTGGCCAAGCCCAAACCAGAGCGAAGCCCCTGCTGCCCTGAGGAGCCAGGGTGACTCGCTGCCTGCTGGGCTCAGATACCATCAGGACGTTGCTCCACGCTTTCTCCTCCCAGCCTGGGCTGACAGCAAATTCTGCAGGTTTTGGGGGGGGGGTAAGCAGGGTCTGCTACCCCTGCTCACTGCCTGTCTCCCCCCCTCCCTGCCCCATGCAAACACACCTCCATGAAAACCATCGCTCAGGGACTCCGTCACCCATCATGGCTCTGCTGTAGATGGGGCATGGCCAGGCATCCATTTCCTTGGGGCTCAGGGGACGGGAGATGATCTTCAGCTTGTGTCACGTTGCTGGGGGCTCCACTTAACTTCAGCAGCACAAAGTTATACCAGCAGATGAGCTGGCCCTTCACTTCCCTGCCAGAACAGGATGAAGTAGATGTCCTGCCCAATGAGGCATGCAAATATCCCAATTCAGGGCTTGAAATTCAAGGTGTGATGAAGAGCCCGGAAAGCATAACCTGCCTTGCAGGAGTTTTGTAATCCCTTGTCACAACGTTTGCCTAATACCATTTACCTTTAACTGCTGAGACAAGCTAGAAAACTCTGAATGCAAGGAACCGAGGCCATGCTCAGCTGGCCCTTGCTGGGAAACTGGTATAAGCCTGATCACACCATGTGGCATCCCCAGCAGAAGCTGAAGTAAAGCAGAACTCCACCGCTTCACTACACAAGTCCCTGCCCAAGAGAAGTAAGTCCCAGAGTGAACTTGTACTAAACATTGGGGTTAGGGTCTGTGCCTACATGTTAAGCGACTGCCTTAGCTGTTTAGAGGGGAGACAAAAAGCGGTGAGTGGAAGTGTGGCGTCCACGGGACAGGTGAGAAGCTAGGAGATGCACCCAAATCCTCAAAGGCACTCTGTTGTCTGTCACTCATCTCTGACCAGCTGGATACTAGCTCCATCCATGAACAGGGAACCACACTCCTGTCCCCTCTTAGTTTATTTGGATAAACTAAGGCCCCAGTTTTCCCCACATGGAAGTGCTGCTCCTTAACCTGCATAACATATTTTACAGGTTTCCAACCTGTGAAGTAGAGGAGAAGCAGCTGAAACCTCAAGGAAAAACAGCAGCAGCCCAGCCGCTAGAGCATTACAAACAATAATGAGAAGCTGTAGCTGACTGAAGAGAAGGCAAGATGATCAGCCAAGAATACAGTTTTGTCCCCTAGCCAGCACTGGGGTAGATAACTGAAGGGAAAAAGAAACAAAGGTAGTTTTTAGGAAGGCAAACTTGCTTCCTCCCCTCCTCCCCCCCCAAAGCAGCTCCTCCACTGAGCCTATTATTAAATGGGAAAAGCAGGGAGGACAATCTGCTACAGAAACCATGATGATGGGACTACTTCAGAAGCTTGACAGATGTCCCTGAGGTGATGAAGAGACTGCAGCAGAAGCTGACTACCAACAGCTGCTGCTCACCTCTCCACCTGCCACAATCAAACTAGGCACCATGCATTCTCTGGAAAATATCAAAAGATGTGCTGAAATTTTCATGCCCATTCTGATGTGGCAAGGCACTGGTTAGACTTACTTTAACTTAGTCTTCAGAAAAAAAAAAAAATCTAAGCACACACAGAGTACTGCACAAAGATGATACAAAACAACATGATACCAGTGCAAGTTCCATGAAACTTTTTATTCAACAAGTATTTCGTTATGATTCTGCCAAGATGATCAAATGAACAGCAAGGCATAAAAAACATGAAATAGTTAAGAGATTTTATTCTAATAGCTTTAATTACAGTGCTTGTTTGTCGAAATGAAAACCGAAAACAAGTATACAAAACAGTTGATTACTAATTGTGTATTGAAAGCAATAAAGGTTTCCACAACACTAAACAAACCAGTTCTGATAGTTCCTCAAGTTAAAGTTTTAACAGCTCCAGCTTCTTCAGTGTTTATCAAAATACAAAAGAAAAGTAAAGAGGTCTTTTTTCTGATGGCAAATCTGAACCTTGCAGTATGAGGGATGCCAAGGGTTTTCACACATATACAGATATGGGATTGTTCCAAAATGGGATTGAGTACTTCTAGAGTGGAATGACTCTCCGAACTCTCATGCTTTTTTCCTAGACACTATACATAGATGTTTGGTGTTTTTCATGGCAATTCTTACTTAAGTACAGTACTTTCTGACTATAGAGCTTAGGACTAGTAGAGGCTGTGCTTTCTGTGGAAAGGTTTGCCTTCTGGAGTGGTTTACACGCAAGAAAAGTACAAAACACTTTAGACAAATACAACAGGCTAAAAATGTGACTTCCAGAAATTATTCAAGTTCAATGGAAGCGATAAACCTCACCTGAACCAAAAGTCAGAAGTTTAGGATGAATCTGAAGGCTCATCTAAACCAGCTCTGACAAATCTTTTAACAAGTACGAACAAACATGAGCACATACTATGAGCTACAGAAAGAACCAGAGATCTACCAGTTGTAATCTGTACTTTAACCCGATGAAGCTAATTTGGTGTCAATCATTGCTTCGCCATTTCAGAAGAATTAAAAGTCACCGTATTAGAGTTAGAACAGCAGAAGCTATGTCAAACATATTTGTATGATCAAGTGTTTTTACTTTTCCTTGACTATTTAAAAAAATACAGAATTCAGGTTAAAAACCAACCACCAAAATGGATCTCACAGACCTCACAACCCAACAGAGATAGTATTCAGCTCTACTGCACAATGACCACTGGCAACCCTTGTGTTAATCCACTTAAATCCCTTCCAAGTACTAAACAGTGAGTTGATTCTTTACAATAAAAAAGCTGAGTAATATTGCATAGGAGTACCAGAAACTGCCTCATTGGAAACAAAAACTATTTACATTAAATAAGAAACCTAACTGTTTTCAGGCTTGTATTTGCCACATTTACAGCATGGTGCAATATATACTGTGACAAAAGAAATGAAAACAGCTTCCGGCACTCAATACCACAAAGTAGCACAGTTTGCCACATTAGAGTAAAGCGAAGGGCGAACAGGAGGAAATAAGAGGGAGGGGTGGAAAAAGAGGGAAGAGGAAGGATTATGGTTTCATTTCTGGTTTCGGAGCTGATTGGACAACCAGTCCAGTCCTTCATAGAGACCATCTCCGCTAGTGGCACAGGTCGCCTGGATATACCAGTTCCTGTGACGAAGAGAATGCAGTCCAAGTTTGTCTGTGATTTCTGCTGCATTCATCGCATTCGGCAGATCCTGAGGGAAGTAAGCACAGTCATTTTCTCTCCTGCTAGTCAAAGGAAAAAGCCTGCCTTCCTAAACAATTTTAGTCAGCTTCAAACCCATTAGGGGGAAAAAAAAAAGTTAGGAGCTTTTAGAGTTTCAGAGCAACTCAGCAGACTACTTTTGTATTCAAGCTGTGTGTTTCAGAGAAACTCCGTAGATCACTCTTGTATTCAAGTTATTTCCCATATACTGACAAAAATCTCCAGAGGTTGAAAGCATGATCACCCATTGCTGGTTGCACTATGGGCTATTCCTCTTAAGAAAACAGAAGTTAGGCGGCTAAAGTTTGGATTAAGTCATCATGCCACTCAGCGTTGACCCAAAACTACATACAATTCAAGGTCTGTTTTCATTCATTTCCCCATACAGGAAATGCTTTCTGCCACTGCAGTATTATCTAAATTCAAGCTAAACTTTTATTGTGAAGCACTACTCAGCTCAGTACTCAGTGCTGCTTCCGTTTACAGTCCATTTTCCTGCTACTAGGACAGACTTATGGCTTCTTTAGCTTTCAGAGCCTGCACAACTGATGAAGCAGGATGCTATTAAGGTCTGCACAACTGAAGTTTACTTAGTTGCATTTAAGACTCACAACATTTGGGTTTAACCTACCAAGGTTTTTACAAACAAAAGACAGTCTCAGCTAGCTTTGCAGCCTAGAAGAGTGCTACTCTCAGTTCAGTTCAAGTATAACAAAAGTCAACTCCCTTTTCCCACCACCACAAGCAGTGCTCTCAATTACCCTAACTACAGGATTAGGGAAGTTCCAGTTTGGGGCATTCCAGGCTTCTTTTCTGTTTGGAGAAAACTTAGGTGGGTACAACCTACTGTCAAAAATGGCAGAATTCTTCACTAAAACTGAGAACACAGGAAACGTCATTAGCCAACACTGTTTTGAAGAGGCACTTTTCAAACGAGAACAGGGCAATTTTTGTTGAAGAAAGCAAACCCACAGACTAATGGACATTTACTGAGAGCGTACCTATTATGCTGCAGACATTCACATCAAGTTGAACAGCAAATCAACTCATAAATAGGCGGTGCATTTTCAAGAGCTCTTACAGAAAGACATCTTGTTTGGGCATACCTGTTTGTTCGCAAACACTAATAAAACAGCATCTCTAAGCTCATCTTCTGCCAACATTCTCATAAGCTCTTCTCTGGCCTCGTTCACTCGTTCCCTGTCATTACTGTCAACCACAAAAATCAAACCTAGAAATAAGCAAACAGTCAGAACCAGTGAACACAGGAAGTTATTTACATGCAACATCACAGCTCTAGAAGTCAGAACTAAGCTTTTAAGAGAAAATAATGCAAAACAATATGCAGCAAAAAAGCACAAGTTCCATATTGTTACAATGTCACATCTGAGAGAAAGAGTCTGCTCTTCCTGAGAGCTGGAGGAAGTGAGCAGTTTGCTTGCATTAGAAGTTTTTGGAACTTGCATGTTTAATTTACGTAACCTCTCCGTACTTTCAAGGAGCAGCAACACTTAAATTCCTATGACAGGACTCTAATGCATCTGTAATATACATTATAAAGGCATACAAGTGGAAGAAGTGACAAGTTCTCAGTTCACAGGCCTGTTAAGTTTGTAGGAAGTGACAAGTACTAAAGGCTCTGCTTTGAAATGAAGGCAGAGGAGCTGCAATGCTTTCAGAGGAAAAGCAGAATTCTGATTCAGACGGACAAGGAAGACTGGTTTCTAGATTTCTTTCCATCCCTCTTGGAACCCGCACTAGCTTAATATAACAGCCAGCCTAGCACATGTGCACAACCCCCACCCTGTTATAATAAACTTTTTTCTCCAAGAAAATATCAGGACTATCCATGCAGGGACATTAAAAAAACAACTTTTTATATTCTGGTAACTTGCAAATTAAGCATGAAGACTCACCTTGTGTATTCTGGAAGTAATGGCGCCAGAGCGGTCTGATCTTATCCTGACCACCTACATCCCACACTGTGAAGCTAATGTTCTTGTATTCTACTGTTTCCACATTGAAACCTAAAACAAAAATTGTGGCAAAACCTCAGTTAAGCATAGCTGGACCTCCACCTATTGTATTTTCCAAGTCATGCTCTCACCACTGAAAACATTATCTGAAAGTTTAAATGTTTCAAATAAGCTGAATCTCATACAAGATCCCAAAGCAGACAAATATGGGTTCTCTGGGTTCTTTGTTTCTGATCACCCAGTCCTCAGATAAGCCCCCCCTCCATTTTTCAGTCCAAACCACCCGATGCCCCAAAATTCTTAACGAAATTAGGGTGACTGCCCTTCCACAGCCCACAAAGGTTTGTTCCACAACCAACTGAAGAGAGAGAAGTGAGTGAAAAGGCAATCGTGTGATCTCCCATGCCTGTAGATCTGGCTGTGCCATCTTCACAGCACAGCTTCAGTGAACGCTGGTAGTGACCGGCACATCAGGGTGCAGCACTAAGTCACTTAAATCAATAACGTGGCAGTTAAGATACTGCTGAAACGACAGGACTCAAATCTCAAAGCAAGCAGTTTACACAAACGAAAAACTCTTACCTATAGTAGGAATAGTAGTTACTATTTCACCAAGTTTAAGTTTGTACAAAATAGTAGTCTTTCCTGCAGCATCCAGACCAACCATTAGAATACGCATTTCTTTTTTGCCAAAAAGGCCTTTGAAGAGGTTAGCAAAAATATTTCCCATTGTTGAGATATGTTCTCACTGGCCAGTAAGTCTAGAGAAAGAGATCACAGTGTCATTCAGTTACAACTGGTTGTGTTCTGACCACCGAATCAACCACCAAAAAAACAGATGAATATGAACTCTTTAGACACCCAGACACATAGTACACATTTCGTCCCACACCGAAACAACACAAAGATCAACAGATAAGCCCAAACTTACCCAAGTAAAAAGAAGTGGTTCTCAGTGCTTTCAAAGCTTTCAAATGTTCTTTCAGAGATTTTAGTGCCAAATACTACTCTCAGACTTTTATTTGTGGCAGAAGTAAACAGCAAACGATGCACGTGACTGCTACAGGTACTTTGCCCCCCATCGCTGTGGCGGAATTCATCTACTGCCTGAGGTGTTACTGTAAAACAGGCTTTTTCTAACTGACCTACCGTTAAAACAAGTTTAAACTCGCGCTCGTGTCTTTGTTGCTTAGTGCACTGAGTGTTTCTTCTTTGGGCAGTACTGAGGAATAAAGAGGAGGAAACTCAAAGTCCAGCTTGAATTCTCTCCTAGGGTTTCCTTCCTCTCCAGCCCTTAGGAAATGGCCTGCCAGCACAGTGTAAACACAAAGCAATATTAGCTTCATTAACATTGAAGACCTTCTCTAGAAAGCAAGTCAATGTTTACTGAAGCTCAACTGTCAAAAATAACTATATTAAGAAGAGGCAGGCTTAGAAATGAATGCTTCTTCGCTCACTGTAAGCTATTCAGTTGGGATGGTCATAAATGGTTAAAAATATCCGGAGCTTCCTGTTTTAGGAACTGAGGAAGTTACCTTTTGATTTCAGCCGCTACAGAGCGCTCACTGTGCCCTTGGAATGGGATCCACTGCTACCTACTTCCACAGGTTTTCTTTTTTTTTTTAAGCTTACTACTGTGTCACTGA